TTGGAGGTGGCTGTAGAGTTGCGTAACAGTTAAAACAATTTAAAATGTCTGATAAAAATGAGACTAAAATGCCACTGATGGAAACTGGAGGAAAAATGTTTTTAGTTTGCCAAATAAATACATAAAAGCACTAAAACCTGAATAGAACTCGTATACAGTTTCATGAAAAGACTGACTGTAACTTAATTAAAATCGGGTCCCAAAATAAACACTGTTGGATTCTACATGCTTTACATGCCAGTTTCTACATATAGCTTTGTTCCTGTGGAATAAATACTCTAATAGTGCAGATAATCATAACAACAACAAAAAAGTATGCAGGAACTTTAAATTTGAACCTTTTCAACAAGGTTTGCATCTCAGTTCCTTTCATAGTTTAGTTTGTGAAATCCATGGAATGGTAAACTAGCTCATTTCTAAACTAGCATCCATTAGATGTCGTATACTGCATATAAAATGTCTCGTTAAAAAAAGAAAAAAACTGAAGATATTTGAAGAGTTCATTTGACTTACCAGGTAACATGTAGTTTTTTTTCTCTTCTTGCAATGCATCTATGTCAAGAGAAGTCTCCCTCACTGGCATATAAGGGATGACTGAATTTTGTATTCTAGCAAACAAACATCAAGCGTAAGTTACATAAAGTTGAAGGTCTGGTTATACATTTGTCAACACATATATTGCAATATACAGAGATTTTGTGGTATTCCTGGTGGATATCGGGCACCTTTATGTTTCCAGTGTGCTTACAGTTAGGGGAATTTGAAAAGTCAATGTTGTATCTGCAGATGGATTCTGCTGTGCCCACTTGGCCAAACATTAGTGTAAAGCTTGTTTTGTACCTATTCTTTGAATGCTCCTTGTTTCAAAATCCAGTGGGCAATGTGCTCTGAGTCATTTTTGATGGCTGCTGAACTCATTTGCTAATCTATAGATATTATTGCACTTGACTTGCATTACTTAAGTCTTGTACATCTAGTATTAATTTGTTAAAATCTGTGATTATTTAAATTGACTAATCTATATTAATGAGCCAGTGTCACTGAAAAAATAGTCAATTTGTCTAAGGTGCTACAGTTAATAGTATTCTTCAATATGTTGACATTAATCCCAAATCTTATTACAAAGTAGAGGATACAGGTGCAATACAGTCAGCCAGTTGATTATTAGATGTAGTCATCCATCAGGTTGAAAGAAAAAAACACAACAATTTGCTGTTTTCAAATGCGAAGATTTAACACTTTTCTCTGTTTAGATATTACAAATTTAAAACCTTCCAGTTTTGCCTGGAATGAAACCAGCAAGACATGGCCTTGGGTTCTTAGAACTTGTGAAGAGCATTTGTCCTTATTTTCTGGCATTTACTCAAAAAAACAATTAACAAGTGGATTGAAAAAAATGGAAAAGCAGTTAACTATCAAAATCAGTTTAACAGTAAACAGCATAGATGATTTTCAGTTACCTGTTCCTCTATTTAAATTACCACATTGACCACATTCTGATCCCAGAAAACACATCATCACTCTGCCCTAAAGCGAGGGTTTTCAAACTTCTCTTCATTGCGTAACCCAGAAACACGAGTTTTGCACAACATCAAAATTAGAATTTATATCTCATTGACTTGTACACTTAATGACTTTCTGTTTTTGTTCACATGCCTTTGTTGAAGGGAGTTGGAATCAAATTAGTCTCTCATCCTCTGGTTCTTTAAACTGTGTACAGGAAAGAGCTATATGCAATGGTAATTTCATCAAGGGTTGGATTTAATGTTGTTTGCTTAAGGATTCTCTGAAGCTAAAGGTTTATCCCTTGAACCAAAATGTAATGAAAGACCAAACCAAGTTGTGAGCATCCATCAGTTAGCAAACACTTTGTAAATTATAACCATTTTATTTAAAAAATATATGTTTTGAGGGGACAATGTTTTTTTTTTTTCAGTTTGGCACATCTTATCCACTATACAGATATGAAATTGTACATATTACAATACAAAAGGAAAATGGGAAGAGAAAAGCATTCATTTTGCACAAAGAGGTTGGGTAAGAGAGAGGGGATTGGTTCACTTGTTTTTTTTTTTGTTTTGTTTTTTTTTTGTTTGTTTTTTTTTTATTATTTTTTAGGCAGGGTTGGGGACAAGGGCTAGAGGATGACAAGAGGAAACAAAAACAGTTAACAAAGAGCCAGAGTGCAAAGGGATGCATATTTCTACAAATTTTGTGGATTTTCAGTCTCTTAGTACAACTGTAGTCTTAAACAGTGAAATGTCAGATGATTGACAGAGCTTCATAGGAATTCCATATATATCCCCATTCTCGGTGTTATCAAAAATGAGGTCTCTCCATAACGTTTGCTGAATGACATTAAGAAATACTCAACTCAATTTTGACTTTTGAACATGCAAGACAGATTAGAAGGGCAATAGTAAAAGCAGTGCGAAGCTGGAAGAAAACTAAATTAGAAAGTGGAGGTGCTTGGCTTTGCAGATGTGATCAGTGTATGCAATGGTTTTCATTGAATTCAAACATGAAGTGTAACAATTTTTGGTTTACATAAGCACTTTCTTAAGTTGTTTTAGGCATCCTATGAGCATGTGCTGGAACACATTGACAAACAAGCATTCATTTAGAAGTCTGAAGCCAAATTTTGACAAGCTCAATAGAGACAAAGCCACAAATGGTACCTTCTTCCTACCTCTAGGGGGCATCAGCCAATAAACTGCATCCCAGTTGTTCAAAACCAAACATCTCACTTGAAGGTGCTGTGCTGTCAGAAGCATCCTTCCATTCTAATTGCTGACTTTAATAAACATAACCAAAAGTTGAAAAAAACATGAGTGTTAGGAGTCAAGAATATGATTACACGTCATATTCTTGTTTCCAAATGTCAAGAATTTGACTTGAATCTTTCGATGTTCAAACACTGGATGGCTCATTAGTTGGCAAGAAGTGAAATTGTTACTGTTGTGTGGTCAGTGTGCATTTCAATCCCAAGGTGCTGTTATTCAGTTCTTCCTCTCTCTACTACCTTTACTCGACCAGAAGGGTGCTCATTTGTTTTAATGAATTAAGATATTACCCCATAGTTGTACCCCCTCTCCGTCGTCCCATCAATTCCTCTCAATCCCTCTCTCTTTCACCCTGCCCCCACTACCAAATTGAACACAAAGAAGTGCGAAGCTGCGGCAGCAGCTTTAGTCTGATGCTAATGCACATCCTCTCCCTGCTGCATACAAATGTGTCCTGACCCAGGCTTGCTGTTTGCTTATCAGTGGATCTCCATTTGCTCTCAGGGTATTGACCGCAGTTTAACTTGACACTTGCGAGTGCTAACCCAGGAACTGTTATAATATTTATTATTCTCTGTAAATGCATTCTCAAGACTGAAATGACAATTCCCCAACAAGAACAATGTCTTAAAATAAAAGGGTCAGTGATGTTTTTGTTTGGTGTCAAGGATGATTATACTAGAACTATTTTTGAGTGGTTGAACAGCTAAATGTTGCTGGATCACTGGTGTGGGTGACAGAATATTAGATTCTTTTTGCCTTGCCTTAATTGGTTCAATCTTGAGGCTGTCAGTCCTGATTAGTGTGTTAGCGGTAAAGAGCGTGGGCTACTGGGAAAGGTTTTATTTTCAGAATGAAATGCATTTGCGCTGTTCATTGCCCTTTCACTTGCTACCTTCACACCTCACACTAGTTCTTCTGTATATCGATCCTGGTATATAATAGCAAATCAGCAAAGTGTACTTAACTAGGTTAAGAAATATTGTGGTCACATTTTGTATGGCATTTGGGAAATTGAGAATCCACGTACAGATCATTGTACATTAATGGTCTAATAATTTGTCCAGCAAGTCTTAGGTGAAGTTGACAACCATGAGTTTTTGCTAAGCTAAGCAGTGTAGTATATAGAAGATTAACCACAGTTGAACAATGCTTAGTGTGTCCCACAGGTCAAACATTTATTTGTAGCGCTTGGCCCTTGTGGGCGGGAGCTCAAACATCCAACAACTTGAGTCAGCTGCATAACAGCATTGCATTTACGAGCTAATGTCTGATTAAAGAGGTAATTTTTCCAATTTATATAATTGAACATAAATTCTCCATTCTCAGTACACACTTTGAGTTGCACTTTCACATAGAAGAACTTTTGGAGGAAATCCAGATTTCTAAAAACAAAACAATAATCTCTTTTTGGCTAAGGACAGCTGTTTTTTTTGAAGTGACCACCCAAATATATTTCTTTAAGAAGGGAACACTGAGAGCCTTTTGATCTGATGGAACGTTATTGATTTATATAACTGAATCATGTCTGATCTGGTAAAAGCAATATCATTAGTGTTTACTGAATAGAACTTCAGGGTTCCTCTCTTCCCAATAGAGAATTTATCTTTATTTGTAACATAACAATAATGACATTTATTTTACAGTTAAAATTCAGAGTTTGAGTTTGGTCTTCGTGTCCTTTAATGTGTCATAGTTCTCTCAAAACAATGAAACTATAAAACATACATCCTAAAGATTGATCCAATTCATTTGCCCCAGTGATTGAGTGATTGGCTTACAGTGCCTGTGGTGCAGTTAGAAACATGATTTCAAATATTTACTTTTTAAAAGAAATACGACATAAATCACATTTCTTCACTTAATGTATTCTGTTAGCAGAGGGCCATTTGGCGAAGTAGTTTCTCTGTGCTGCAGAATATAGAGACAATGTGGAGACAAATCTCACAGTTTACAATTTTCTTCTTTAAAATGATTGCCCCTGCCTGATATGAACAACCTTGCATTCATAGAAAAATAAATTTGTGACTATCTCTACATCTTCCCTTGACTGTCCAACCTCTGTCATTGTAGCATTCAACATTTCTCACATATTCTCAAATCTCACTTGTAGAAATTATGCTTTTTACATAAACTGGAAAAAAATCAAAAAAGCAAACCCTGTATCATCTGAAATGGTCAAATGACAAACCATATGCTCTAGGAATAAATAAGAGTTCATACTTCACACTCTTTGTAAGGCAGCTGCTGACACTTGCACTGCCCATAGCCGTTGATGATCACGAGTGCCCCTTCCTCATGACTGGGCTCATACTCATTATAGGGTACCTGTGTAGCTAGGTCTGCCATAGGCTGCCGCTGCTGGGTCCTCATCTGTCTGCGGTTTTGAATCGCCGAACAGTGGCGTATCCGGCGCAGGGTGGGAGGGCAGCACTTCCGTGAAATATACACAACGAAAATGATGAAAAAGAATGAAAATAGAAGGGCCATAGTTCCAATGATAACCCTATGAGTCATAACAGTGTTGTCCATAGCTGAGAAGTCATCCGTTACAGCTGCCTCTTCCAATGGAGCAGTAGTTGCTTGAGCAGTGCGTGGTGTTTGTGTTGTGGTTGTTGTGGTAATGACTGTGGTAAAGCTCCCAAAATCCTCTGCATAGTCCTGTGTGGGGGTCGGCTGCATAATTCCAAACAAGGAGCTTGTCATCTCTGCAGCTGTAGTAGCGTCTGTGGTTGTACTAATGGTCTGAACAACCGGCGCTGAAAAATTCTGGCAAAGCTGGAATCCATAAACAGCATCAAGTATCTCCTCACCTTGGGCATATTCAGGACTATGGCAGAGAATGGAATGTTCCCACCTTCCCTTAAAGGTGCTTAGCCAAGTGGCCAGAGAGCAAATCCTTTTGGTACATTCCCAAAGGTTGCTAGACAGCCCGATAGTACCCAAAGACTGCCACATATCCATGACTTGAGGATCCAGACTGCTTAGTTTGTTGTTATCCAGCAGCAAAATTTTTAAATTTGGCAGCGTTTGAAATACATCAGGTGTCAGGACACGAATTTCATTTCCTGTGAGGTCCAGCTTCTCTAAAGTGGTCCAGGTCCATTCCATGCCACATGTTAGGTTGCTGATCTTATTCCATTGCAGATATAGAAACTGGAGGGCAACAAGACGAGGGAAATGGGCCAAGTTAATCTTGGTCAGCTGATTGTGTTCCAAGTGGAGCTCTTTAAGCTTGATGAGCCCAGCAAATCCATTTCGGGCCAGGCTCCGCAGACGGTTGCTGCTTAGGCCCAGATATTCCAGGCTGCGGCAGTCCCAGAATGCCCGAACAGGTGTGGTACGAAGTAAGTTGGAGCGGAGGTGGAGTATCTGGAGCTTCCTCAATCCGTGAAACAGTTCTGGTTCCAATGCAGTCATCTGATTGAAGGACAGGTCCAGTATCTGGAGGTTGATGAGGTGGATGAAGGTTGTGTTGGGCAACTTGGTGATACGATTGGAGCTCAGATTGAGGTCCTTCAGTTTATAGAGCCCTTGAAAGGCATCCTCTTGTACTGTGGTAATCTGGTTGTGGTCGAGATGTAGCCAGGTGAGCTGGCTGAAGCCATAGAATTGATCAGGGCTGAGCTCAGTGATGCTATTGTGGCGTAGTGACAACCCCAGGGCTCCCTTGTCCACACCATCTGGGGGTGCCGTAAGCCCCTGGGTGTCGCAGTAGAACTGCAGGTCCTCACAGCGGCATTTTTGAGGGCAGGTTGTGCACGATGCAGGAGACAGCAGGCACGCTAGGAGCATGCTGATCACACACACAGCCGCTGGTGCAGGTCCCACCAATGGCCACCTTGAATGGAAACCTGGGTGGGTTCAAAGACAAGAAAATGAACTGTGGGGCGGGAAAGCTAATCTCTGCAGAGCACTTATTACTAATTCATGATGGCGATTGTGCTTTCTGTGTATGCTCTCGTTCTTTACATACATACAGCAGTTGAGATATTTTGCATTGGCAACTTTTACAATGTATGGAAACATGACACATGGATGGAGATGTCATTTACTTGCGCATCTAACGATCAGTTACATGCATGAGCCGGACTTTGCTCGCACTGTTTATATTTAGCCAATTGGGTTCATTTTTAGTGCTCTGCAATTGGGCTTGAATGCAAATTTCCCCTTCATTACTGACATTCGTTTATTAGTTATTTGCTGTATGTTTTTTTAAGCAGCACACATATACTGTTGTCATTGAATAGAAAATAAAAAAAAAAAAAAGAATGATTTGAATTAGGGCTTTTTTTTTTTATGTGATTTTTTTTTATCACTTGAGAGGGCTTCTGTTAAATACAAACGGTTCTTAAATCGTATATCTTCCCAAGTCGTGTGTCGGTGAAGAAAAGAAAATGAAGGACCATTGCAGTAAATAGACTTGGCAGGAGAGCTTTTAGTCCTCAGCCTTGCTCACTCTTACTTGTATTCTCTATTCATGCCCAGATCTGCCATATAAAGGGAGCTAACTTACCCATTCTTTTGTGCACATCGGAGGCTGCATTCAACTGTCCTTTTCCGCAGACTCTTGGAGCAACCAGATGGAAGAAAAATCCAAAGGGAAAAAGCCCTTTTGAGTAAGCACAAAAGGAATCAGCCTCTTTGGAAATATAGCAATTCTGAACCCACCCAATTGAAACAAAATATGAAATTCCATGTCCCAAGATGATGTTTATTCCTGTTATGCTGCTTTAGTCCTTTAAAATCCAAGCTGAAAGAAAAGGTTGAATCTTTTTTTCCTTCAACCCACGAATCCTTGAAATAAATAATTATATAATTTTTTTTTAAGTTGATCAGTTGCATCCAGAGCGACTCCAGCGAACAGACCCCCCCTCTCCCTTTTTCTTCTTTTTCTTTTTTTTACCCTTTTGTTTCCCTTCCACCGCAATGATGTCAGCTCAGACGGTTAATTGAAGATCAAGTGCCTCTCTTTCATGGCTGTGGTCTTCCAACCCTAACTTGTTGATGGCAGCCAGAGATCCTGCTTCCGACGCCGGCTCAGTCTCAGCATAGCCTCTGCAGAGCTGTGAGCGGAGCCCTCGTCTGCTAGCTGAGACGCAGGGAGAGAGAAAAAAGCAGAGCAGGGAGTCAGGGATGTTATTCTGTGCTTTTTGTTGCAGCCACTCACTGCTACAGAGTGGTGGCAGCCTGGCGTCGATCATCACTACTGTTTCTCTCTCTCTCTTTTTCTCTCCCACACACACAAACACCCTCTCACTCTCTTGCTCAGTCACTTGCTCTCTGCCTCATACACAGTGCTTGTGCACCTTAGTCTTCCTCCACCTCCCTCATGCATCCCCCTTCCCTCCCACTGGCTCGTCACCATCAGAATATTGATATCTTGAACGTGTTGCGGCAGCTTGCTGTTGAAATTAACCACAGCTGTAAATCTCAGCCTCGCCTTGCTGTTGTTCTGCAGGCACTATGTATGAATGTATGCTGGAGACATAAACAAAATAGCATAACAAAGCAGAATATAGTTGGTAACTTGTGGCTTTAGACAACAAAAAAACACGAGCAAGGTGCTCTGCATTGCCTTATCTCTGCTCAGGAGCGGGTATACTATGTCAATGCTAACATACGATGTCTGTTTTATATTCATAATTTACATATCTTGAGTGCAGTGCCTTTTTGAGCACTGGCATGCAATGTATGGCCAGCTGCTCTGAAGCTTAATTAGGCTAGCTTTTAAAATGTAATGGACAAGGTTGAACACTTGGCTGATGATGTGAGGCATAAGGAGAGATTAAAGTAACTAAAATGCTGTTACCATTTTTTTTGGGGGGGGAATTTTAACAGATGAATTTGACTCTTCTATTTCTTAAAAGAAGATATTTCAGAACCATTTAGAGTGCTGAAGAGAATGGGATGTCTGTAGTTAATTTTTAGCCCTTATATTCTTCAATTATTTAATGTGCTGTGCTGTGAGGGCAATTGCAGTAAGCTAGACTGGAGGCATTAAAAGACTACATAGAAGAAAAGACATGAAGCACAAATATTGTCATTAACTTTGTTCGTCTATTGAATTTCACCTTCTATTTACTTATACATCTTTTATATATACTACGCTATAGTTTCCACGAGCCTAATACACCCCCACTTGATTCAAATGTGTTAATTTAATTTCCTTACAGTGAAGTTTTTTTTTATTCTATTGGATCTGTTACAATCAGTTGCATTTAATGAAAACAAGTAATAGAATTCCCATTGTTTGAATGATAGTGAAATAGTATAAAGAGCAACTGAAACCAATTTTCTATTTTTCAGAATGTCAGATTTGAATACTGCAATGCTGACGTGCGTCACAGAGTCACTGAACTGCATGCATAACTCGAAAAATATTGTGACTTAAAAATAATAAATAAAATCTTTCATTAACTCCATTACTACAAAACACATCTGGCTGTGACTTTCCAGGCCATTTGACCTGCAAGCAGCTGTCATTCTCCACATGTACTGTGGTAGACTACATCTCCCATGTGGACTGTTCTGCAGAATGCGTAAGAGGAATGCATAGAGAAAAAAAAAACACTTAAACCTCAGGGAGATGTCCTCTGTGTTTGTGTGCTGGCTTTTCATTGAAAATGTAGGATGTTTGAAAAGCAAATGTGAAAGGAAAAAAACATGTGAAATTATAAATGCCCACCCAATTAACTGAGCCTGCTGAAATATTGAAGAGCAATGTTGTGGAGCTCTGTGATCATTTGACACTTGGAGAATAGTTTATTTCCATTGAATTTTTTTGAAATAATCCAGCGGACTAGTGGTTTCGTAGAAAGGGATGTTCCTAAATCTGTCCTAAAGGAGATGGATAGAGACTCACCTGAGTATCATAAAAGATGCCGCAGAGAAACTGCCTCCATAATGAGCACCTGAAAAAGTGCTTTAGAACCCTCTGGCGTGGAAATGAAATATAGGCTAGGCATGAATGAAATAGGATTGAAAGAGTTGGGGCAGAGCAGGCTAAAGCCCTACACAGCACTGCATCCAGCCGGCACAAAATCACAGGGGATTAGTGCTGTTGGAGCTCCCTGGCCCCTAACTATGTGCACAACCCCCCAATGGGCAAAGGTCAGTGGGGGGATGGGGTAGGTCAATGCCACCACCATCCATGGTGTTCTGATGCGGTTGATCTAAGCATTATAAAGGGGATGAGCAGCCCAGAGTCCAACTGGTTCTTTGCCTTTTCTCTGTTGCCCTTTGCTATTCATCTAATTTTGCTCAGATTTTATGATTTTCCAGTATCAGTGCATATGTCACTCTCTGTTTTTCGCTTTCACTCAATCTCTCTCTTTCCTAAAAGTTTTAGGTTTTCAGCTTATGCTAAAGTAGTTTGCAGACTGACTGAACATCTCTGCATTCGTTCATGCTCTGACTACTGTGTGACACTTGGCTGTATGATTACCAGTTGAGCTGTTGCAATGTATGTAACTTACACATGCGTATGAAACTGCAACTTTCATCAACACATATTCTCTTTGAAGATGAGAACATCTACACTGTGGAGAAGAGATTAAAATATTAATTTTATTGTTGCTCTACATTAGTGCTCAGTTGTACTCACAAGCCTTTTTACAGCTGCTCTTAATTTATGAGCAAACAATGCACCATTACCACAGTGATGTAGATGCATTTGAATATGCTCTTTGTACTTGAGTTGTACATTTTCAATCAGAAACCGCATCCAAGCTGCTGTTTGCACCCAAGAAATGGAGAACTGTGAAAATACCCGCCTCAGCCTGTTTCATGGGGAGCAAATCTTTTGATTTACATGATTATCAGGTTGTCTGACTTTACCAAACATGCTTTGCTTAGCAGTAGTGTAGATAATCACCTTTATCACAGTAGCCAATCCAATCCAAATAGTATTTCCACAGTTTCTACTACTGGGAGCTGATGTTGGCCCATTGAGGCCAACAGGACAAACTGGTTTCCATTTTACAAAATGACCAAGTAATTTAGGCAGTAATAGATTCAAACTAGTTTAAGTCACCGGAACATTTTCTTTTTTTGAAAATGTGGAACCTGAACCAAATTTTGATTTGTCTTTATTAAACATTTAGAGTTACAAACATAACAGAGGGTAAAATAAAACTATTTCTACATGTATGACAGCTTAGGAGTTCTGTAAATATGAATCTCTAGCCTGCATCAAGGGTTGCTTTTAGTGGTTTACTGCAATGTATTATACAGTGTTATATACAGCATCTATGAAGAGAGCTGTGGTGGCAGGAAGACTTGGATAGAATTAGCCTTTCTCGATCTGTGCATGAATAAAATTTTGGATTTAAATGCAGTTTGCGACCAACAGCAGCACTTAAGAGGATGTAGTGCACATGAATTATAGCGCTTATATATTGCAAATCAGCTGTTTTTTAACCCAACTCCCTTTTTACCAGCGCATGCTTTCAGTGTGTGTGTATATTATTAATTGAAACTGTTAGCTGCTGCTCTGTGCTCCATGGATCGCTCACTGTGCTGTGAGTTGGGAAATGATTCCAGTGTTTATTGGGGGCCAAAGGGGCGCTTTTGACAGCTGGTCTATGCAGAGTACAGAAATGATACATGGATCAAACTGACTATCTGCAGAACAGTAGCTGCACTTACATTCACAGATCACTTTAACTCTCACTGGAACCTATTACATACAAATGAATGAATAATTTGGTGATTTACATGATGTATCCCCCACGGGATTATTCACACACGCTCAATAACAAAATAAAAATTCTGTGATCTGTGTCCACCAGCGTCTCACAGCATAATAAATTGCCCACATGAAGAAGCTCTTGAAACAGTCTTGACTTTTTATCTTTCTTTAACAACTGAATTGCATTTTTTATTTTTATTTTACGGCAGTTTTATAAGAAAGTACAGTAATTTTACAAAGCAGAGACACATGAAAGAGTCGGATCCAAAAATGATTGGTTAATAACACTGAAACATTTAAATTTATCCAGCAACCTTATTAATCGTTATATACTAAATTACAATTTTACTAAAAAAGGAAGCATGTGAGAGAGTGATGATGTAACACTAAGAACGATGCTATTAATTATAAATTCTGATGCAGTGGTATGTCTGCAGATTTGTTCCATTTTGTCTTTATTCCCTCGAGTCTAGACTGTTTAATCTTTTCAGGTTTGGACACGGATTGATTAAATTCAATCTGATCCGTAGGCTTATCAAGATATATGTTATATGAGCATCCACAGCAAATTTGTTGTTGACATAGCTGCCACTGCA